AATAAATTTCATCTGTCAGTATTGCTTTGTCGCCTGCAGCAAGGCTGGGCTAGTATCACACATAAGGCAGCACAAATGAAATATGCTTTTCCTTTCTCTGATTTTCTCTACAATAGCGCCATCCAATAGAATACATAGGGCATTAAACAAAACCAGTAAGCTCATATACTCGGTCAGTTATTTTCCCAGTTTTCTATCCAAGCAAGGTGATAAGACCAGTAAAACAGTAGGGGTTACTTAGTGTCAACAAACCGTAGAAAATATTAGTGAACGAAAGGCCGATAAATTGACAGGTTTTAAAAAAGACTGACGGTGGTAGACACTTTTGTAGTTTGTGCTTTAACGATAAGCATGAAGCTGGAAGAGATTTCCAGGAGCGAGAAGTGTGAGTGAATACAGTATTATAATAGAAGGTACGGTTACACTTAGCACTTTCAACAGTAAAATCATGAGACCTAACAGCCTATCTAGTAACGTGCTTAAAATCATGAAGTCGACCTGTAGATCAGGTTCAATTTTAGTTTCCTGCTAGTAAAAAGTGGAAAAGAGAATGAATTGAGAAACAAATAAAAAAGAAAGATTAACAAGTATAGAAATAAGAAAAATGACGAGACCTATCTGCCACTCTAGTACTATGCTTCCAATCATGAAGTCGATTTGTTGATGATGTTCACTACTGGTTTCGTGCTAGTATACAAATGAAAAAGAAAGGGAACTGAGAAAATAAAGGAAAAATTAACAAATATAGAAAAAAAGGAGAATGATGAGACCTATCTGCCACTCTTGTATTCCGCATCACATCATGAAGTCAACTTGTTGAGGTTGACTATCGGTTTTGTGTCATGTAACCGTAGCAGATAAAATTTGATTGACAGGTCTTTTGGACAACACTCGCTTTGTTTGTCAACCAATTACTAAACGCTAGGATCAACCCCTGCCTTTAAAATATAGTAAGATTCGTACCCAGTCTCACAGGCTTTATCACGCGTCGCCCCAGGGAGAAACGATGGGAGATGGATACAAGCATGTGCTCACGTCGTAAATTAATCATCCTCTGCACCCGGGCTAGGTTCTCGCCAGCCCCCCACTTTTTTTTTTTCCACAGTTCAATATTTAATTATGTTGGTCCGAAAGTGTTAAACAATCTGTTCCTTGTCTTCTGAGCCTCGTGAACTCGTCATTAAGCAGAGGTCACGTGTTGTTTAACCTTCCTCTCGCTTCATCCCATATGTCCTCACCTCTATTAGTTTTCCTGGTCAAAGTCCCATAAAGTTTGGCGAAAATATTCAACTGTTATTTACTTTAGAGTGATTAATTTTCCTTTCGAGAAGCGTCCGCCATTGTTAATTGTTCGATTTTTATTTTAAATGGTAATAATCGATGAAACGTAGAGGGGACGGCGTTGATATAGAAATCTTACTCCGAGAGAAGTCAATTGTATATTATTATGCTTATCACACGTTAATTTATAGCTAATTTCACCTCAGTCGCCCTCCAAATAAGGCCTTGTTCCAGACTAAGTCATTGATGTCTATAACTACATTTAATTCGTAATAAGAAGGTACTCTTACAGCGGAACTCAAATCTAGAGAGCTTGGACAACCCAAAATTATATGTCTGGCACAGGGACAGTAAACTGGATCGCTATAATTCAACGAGCTAACAGTGATCTAATAACTTCATGGGCACGTGTCCGAGGTGTTAGAATGTTCGCTTTCTGACCATGAGAGCCGGTCATACTGTCATACTGATGCGTCTGTTGACACTTTTTAATAAATTCACTCTAAAAAGGCAATAAAGCCACTAAGATGGGAATACTGGATGTAAAAAATATGAGAAAAAGAAAACAGCTATTAATAAGATCAAAATTGATTTAAAACACAAAATGCCGGAGGAGAAATCCACAATTGATGTCAATCAGTTATTTGCCATACTTGATACACGCTAAAGCAATCATGTATCTTTTGATACATGACTGACGAGGCAGATTTTTCTTCGAAGTAGGTTGCCATTTCTTTCTGCGATAGACCAGTTGCCAACCAAGGCTATAAAACCCGGTCTGTACTGCTACTTACTTGGGGAGAGAAGAAGAGGATTCATACCTTTCCCAAGGCTGTTAGCACGTGGAATGGATCTGATTGGAATTCGAACTCGGCTCTCCGATTCCTCAATCCGAGCCGCTATCCACCGTTCATCCTCAATTGATGTACGAGAAAATAAACTGTTAGCATCGAGCAAATGTCACTGTGGAATGATGAGAGCTAACTGCCAATCTCGCACTCAGCTCAATCACAAATCGTGTTATCCAAAGAGGAAAGATAATTAGAACACTTAGCATGAAAATACTTAGAGAAAAGGCTCAAGGAAGCTACGTTACTGCGCTGGGAGAGTGAATGATGCTGAGATGCCGGGTGAAGATAAATAACATTGCAGATTCTTCTTTGAATGTCATGAACGACCTCTAGATAGATAGTGGAAGAATCAGAAACAGAAATCAGAGCAATATACAATGCATGAGCGAATGCTTAACTTATGAATGCGCAAAACAGAATCTGACGGGAAACATCATCTAACACGACGCAGAGAATCAACTATCTTACCAACAAACCTAGTAATTGAATTAGTAGAATCTTTCCACTTCATGTCAGCAGAAAACGTTGGCGCGAGAGGTCGCAATGAGTCAGTCTGATATAGGTTACCATCAGCCGGTAGAGGGCAGTTTTGTCTTGGGGGGCGTTAAAATTAACAAGCCATTTCTTGTCCCAATTAACAATAGATTATAGATTAGTTTCGAGATCAACTGCCAATTTGACTTTATCGTACCGATCAGATTTATCATTAAGAAAGGAGTAAATAGATATGTCATCAGCATAGATGCCCACAACTGGTGACACCGTGAAAGCAGCTGCTAAAAATTTCGATTTATATTAAATTAACTACAGACCAAATTTAGACTTGACACACACACTCACTCTCACTCTCTCCCTCTCTCTTACACACTCACACACACACACACACACACACACACACACACACACACACATATATATATATATATATATATATATATATATATATATATATATATATATATATATATATATATATATGTATGTATAAGTGCGTAGGTATGCAGAAAATGGGTGCATAATCCGGGGTTCCTTAGTATTTTTTGTTTTTTTTTTTTAAGAAGACAGTGCTCCATAGAAGTAGAGCTTATATTATAATAATATTTTTTGTTTAAAAATATTATTATAATTTATATGTATATATATATATATATATGATTTTCTTCGTACCCCTCCCCTTAGCTTCTTATAAAATTGAACAATTTACATTTGTTTCATATTATGATACATGATTGCCACACGGTTTTAGCTTGTATTATTTTTTTGTCTACCCCTCCTGACCTTGTCTAGTATTATATTTCAAATGACATTTTATCCTTATCAAAATTCCCCACTTTTTTAACGTAGGTCTGGCTCCTCATTGGTTAATCAGCTAAGCCCACAAGCCTCATTTTAATTTTGTTTTGTTGTCACCTGCTTTTTAAATTTAAAAATAATTTTTCACTCACCAGTTATTTATCATTGCCTGACATGAGAGTTATTGTATAGCGATTTTAACATTTTCTTTTCTTTTTTTATTTTATTTATATATATATATATATATATATATATATATATATATATATATATATATATATATATAAAATTATTATATGTGTTTAAACAATAAACTGATTCAAGATATACACACACGCATATATTTAAAAAATCAGCCGATCGCTCTACCTGGGTTTCAATCTTTTAGTATCTTCAGGCGGTTCCGTCTAAATAATTTTATTTTAAAAATAAATAAATTAATACACAGCATGAGCGTAATAGAAAGGTAGGCAAAAAGCAAGTGTATTGAAATTTTATCCTAGTGCAGCTGTCTGAAATATACATGTTTTCATCCTTATTCAAGCGAACTCAAAAGGAATAATTTGTGTGTGTAGGCACCGTGTCATTGATTCTGACCTTTCATTTTTTTTTCTAGTCTAGAAATGTTATTATTGCTATCTTTTCTTCTTGGCAAAGCTTGCAGTTGTGACTATGATTGTTGTAAGGTTTCGATATTTTATTATTTCCCAGTTTACAATCGGACCTTTTTTTTTAAATTTCAAGACATGTCTGGCTAGTTTTGTAGAATTCCTAAGTCTTTTTAGCTTGAAGGACGACTTGTGAATGATGACTTGTGATTATACCATCTCGTCTTGAATCTGCCTTCATTACGACCTATGTAAATTTTGATTTTGCTATTTGAATCTTTTACTTCTGCTTTATTAATTTATTTTTTTAATCATTTCACCCCAATCAAGAAAGGGCTACCGAGAGTGAAAGTAAAGGGAAAAGATTGGGTATAATGGGGGATCGAGAGAAAGGATAAAAAGAAGAACGGAGAAGGATAAAAAGAGAACGTGAGTGAGGCATCAGAAGATGTCGAGTGACATTATATTTACATTTTTTATGATTATAGTTATCAGCGGAGCAATTAAGACGAAGGGAGTTCCACAGTGGGGAAGTGCGAGAAAATCAAATGTTAGAATAGAAAATCCGGTTACCTTTAACTGTTTCGACAGTCAAAATGTGAGACCGAGATTCCAAAATTGTAGCACGCTTAAATTCACGCAGTCAGGCCACCAGTGAAAATAGCTTGTCAGAGAAGATGTCATGAAAATATTTATAGAAAAGACAGAAGGAAGCCACATTACGTCGGAGAGAAAGTGAGTGGAATCGAAACTCCAAGTCATGTCCGATCATATTGCTTATCTGTCTTTGGATTTTGTAGAGTACCTCTAGAAGAACAGCGGGGGGTACCCGACTATATATGGAAATATGAGTTACTCCTTACATTTTCTAAACTCCGTCTACTGGACAGTTAAATGTTTCACGGTTAACGATATCTTGCTGTGCATGAGTGGGGAAAAGAAATCATGAGTGGAGAGAAAAAAAAAATCATAAGTGGGGAAAAAGAAACATGATTGGGGAAAGAAAACATAGGTGGGTAAAAGAAAAGAAACATGAGTGGGGAAAAGAAGTCGTGAGTGGAGAAAAGAAAAGATAGATGAGTGGGCAAAAAAGAACGAGGAGAGGGTAAAAGAAAATGTGAGTGAAAAAAAAAGCGAAACATGAGTGGAAGAAAGAAACATGATTGTACAAAATAAAAGAAACATGAGTGTAGAAAAGAAAAAATGTATGCAGAAAAAAAAGGAAACAGGCGTAGGGAAAAGAAAATATAAATCGGGGAAAAGATGAGGAATCTGTGTGGTGAATAGAAAAGAAACATGAGTGGAAAAAATGTATGGGAACAGAAAAAAAAAAATATAAATTGAGTGGGATAAAGAAAAGTAGTGGAAAAGAAAAGAAAACATGAGTGTGAACAGAAAAGAAACATGAGTGGGGAAAATATATCTTGAGTGGGAAAAGAAAAGAAATATGAGTGGAGAAAAGAAAACATGAGTGGGAACAGAAAAGAAACATGAGTGGGGATAAAAGAGTGGGGAAAAAACAGGAAAATAACACAGTGGGAAAAGAAACATGAGTGGGGAAAATATATGTGAACAGAGTGGGAAAAGAAAAAAAATATGAGTAAAAAAGAAAAAAAACATGTGGAGAAAAGAAAACATGAGTGGGAACAGAAAAGAAACATGAGTGATTAAAAAAAATATATATTTGGGAAAAGAAAATGTTTGGGGAGAAAAGAAAACATGAAAATGTGAAAAAATTCATGAGTGGGGAAAATATATCTTGAGTGGGAAAAGAAAAGAAACATGAGTGGAGAAAAGAAAAAAAGAAAAAAATGAGTTGGGGAAAAAACAGAAAAGAAAAAAACATGAGAAAACATGGGGGAACAGAAAAGAAAATTTTGGGAAAATATCTTGAGTGGGTGGAAAAAGAAAAAAGAAAACATGAGCGTGAACAGAAAAAAAACATGAGTGGGGAAAACATCTTGAGTGGGAACATATAGTGGGAAAAAAGAAAAAATGAGTGTGAACAGAAATGAAAGGGGGAAAATATATCTTTAGTGGGAAAAGAAAAGAAACATGATTGGAAAAAAAAAAAATTGGGAAAAAAAAATGATGAGTGGGAAAATATAAAAAAAAATTAATATGAGGAAAAAAAAAAAAAAGTGGGAACAGAAAAAAAATAAAATATATCTTGAATGGGAAGAGAAAAGAAACATGCGTCTACAAAAAAAAAAAAATGAGTGTGTCAGAAAAGAAAATGAGTGGGGAAAAATATCTTGAGTGGGGGAAAAAAGAAACATGAGTTGGGAAAAGAAAAGAAACATGAATGGGGAAAAAACATTATGTGGGAACGAAAAAGATTAACCTGAGTGAGGAAAAGATTACCCTGAGTGGGAGAAAGAAAAGAATGGAAAAGTAGGGGAAAAAAAAAAACATAAGTGGGATTAGGAGAAGGGGAACAGAAAATATGAGTGGGGGAAAATTAAAAGAAAAGATTAAGTATTTTTATTAAAACATGAGTGATAACAAAACATGATTAGTGAGTTCAAGTGGGGGATGAAAAAACAGACTTCTATGTTTCTTTCAAGGATGGGACCTCTTCTGTTTCTTGATATATTCTACTGATATATTCTCTATACCTAGAAAGGTACAATTTTGTCCATAGATATAGCATAATAACAGAATATATCTTTTTTGCCCATAGATATGGCATAAAAACAGAATATATCTTTTTTGCACATAGATATATCATAATAACAGAATATATCTTTTTTTGCCCATAGACATAGCATAATAACAGAATATTTCTTTTTTGTCTATAAATATAGCATAATAACAGAATATATATCGTTTTGCCCATAGATATAGCATAAGAGAATATATATTTTTTGCCCTTAGATATAGCATAATAAGAGAATATATCTTTTTCGTCCTTAGATATAGCATAAGATATTTATATATATATATATATATATTGCTAATAAATATAGCATAATAACAAAATATATCTTTTTTGCCCATAGATATAGCATAATAACAGAATATATCTTTTTTGTCCGTAGATATAGCATAATAACAGAATATATCTTTTTTGCACATAGATATAGCATAACAACAGAGAATATTTTATCGTATATATATGTATGTGTCTGTGTGTGCGTGTATTTATGCATATGTTTGTGTTTATTCATAGATACAAGCACTAGCCTACAGCGATTAAGAAAGTCTTCAGAATGTTTCGACACGAATTTGTGAAAGTGCCATAATGTGACATTTAACTTTCGTTATTTGCAAGTTCTAAATCTTACTTTCATGCTGTCTGGTTTTGGCATAGAAAGAAACGGGGAAAAATACAAATCAAAATGTGAATAAAAAAAGAAATCTTTCAAAAAGAATAGCGTAAATCGAGACACATTAATTGATCCCCGAAAATCATTGGTAACTTCGCCAGTGTTGCGTCTATAGAAGATTGGTTCAGAACAATGGCTCAGATGTCATTTCAGTTTTGGACGGATGGCTTTTTCCATCAGGCAAAAGAAAACTAACCTGAACAGAGAAAATATATAAATCATAAAAGACCAAACTTTAGGAATAGTAGAAAAGAAGTAAATAGTGTAATCCAAACGCATATATATATATATATGGGTGGGTGGGGGACTGTGTGTGTGTATGAATGTATTTTATAGCGGCAATCACGTAGATATATGTAGATAGCAATGAACCACTGACATAGATACATGGATAGACAGATTGATGAATACATAAAAAAAACATATATATATATATATATATATATATATATATATATATATATATGGTGACGATTGCGTCTAGCATGAAACAGCCTGTCGCCCCTGAGTGTTGACTTCACTGTTCACTTTTATATTTGTATTGACATACTTTAAATACTATCTCTGACTTTAAGCACTTTATCCCATAAATATAGCACATTTTAAAACTATATTTCTGCAGATGTATGTGTATATATATACACACACACACACACACACATATATATATATATATATATATATATACATTTGAGTATTATGACTTTTGTATTGGATTCTTTAATTCAGCTTATTTTTTGTAAATGTGTGACCACACAACACGAAAATTCTAAAGTCGTATATGAAAATAGTAGCTGGATGACTTTTTGGGAAAATATTTCCAGAGGTTTCTAGAAATGTATGGGACATTCTAAAACTTGTTTTTCTTTATTTGTATGTTTGTGAGCTATGCTATAGTTCCAAATCGTTAAATGCCTTACAAAATTCAAACTTACTATTCAATCACATTATTAGCAATTTGAAAATAATGCATCTGATTTTTTTAACCTTATTGCGTATACTTTTTTTTTTAATACTTTTGACCAAATGTTCATCGATTTATGACACAGGAAAATCAGAGTTAGTAAAAAGTCATTAACCTAATATATATATATATATATATATATATATATATATATATATATATATATATATATATATATATATGTGTGTGTGTGTGTGAAGGAAAATACAGATGCAATTATAAATAAGCAAGTGGCTTGTTATATATATATATATATATATATATATATATATATATATCATATATATATAATTAATTGGTGTATACGGAATGAATTCCAATAACCAACAATTACTATTCTTAAAAGATCTGAATAGCTATTATAACATGATTTCGTTGCCAAGCTTTTGAATCTTCCTATACTTGGGTTTTGATTGGTCATTCTAGCTTTTGTAACAATGTTTTTCCCTAGCGAACTTTTAAAACCATTCATTCTATATTCAACATCATCACTTGATAAGACACCGAAAAAAGACGATGGACATAAAACTAAGACCAATCCAAACAGATAAATGAAATCTTTTATCTTTTGAATTGAATATGGTCTATGTTAATTATGTTTTATGAATATGTCCTGAAGATGGTCTATTAGACCGAAACGTCCGACGTTGACATTATATTAACATTAAACTGCATAATTGCATATTAGGATTTTTGTTTGGTTTTTCTGTATATTTTTTTCATACTGTCGGATCTATATCCATATATTTGCTTACATATATATATATATATATATATATATATATATATATATATATATATATATACATATGTAACCTGGATATAAGAGACCCGGATATAAGAGAGATTTTCTCTGGTCCTAAATTAGAGCCTGAGTTAATGTATATAAATTAGACCAAACCCTGATATAAGAGAAACTCGGATAAAAGAGAAACCCGGATATAAAAGACTTCTTCTCCGGTCCCAACAGCTCTCTTATAGGTTCGGTATATATATATATATATATATATATATATATATATATATATATATATATATATATATATATAAAGAAAAGCGAAAGAGAGAGAAATGTGTAGAAATATATATATATATATATATATATATATATATATATATATATACAGAGACCGTGAGACAGAGAGATAGATAAATAGGCGAATACAAAAACATCTTTTAAAATCTTTCTGTGAAAACGCCATGAAAAGCAATTTTTTTGATATCAAGAAAAAATAGTGAGGAAAAAGAGAATGCCATGGAAAAAAAGAAAGAAAAAAAAACTGACTGCGTCCGTAAATAAGGAACGGCGCAAGGTGCGAGAAAAGATTAAAATCACCAAGGCGTTTGACAAGTCATCTGCCAAAAGTATCAAAATACAGTCTTGTCGCCAAGAAGGATATAACCTCCCCACCCTGTACACTACCGTGACAGAAGAAAAATCAAGTTGAACTTTCTGGCGTGTCTTTTGACGAGAATCCGAAAGGATGATGGTGCCGTTGATTGAACTTCTTCTGTAAAAGCCGAGAAATAAAGACGAAGGTGAAAAAAAAAAGTGATTTTTTGTCTTCTGTTAAGACAGGCGAGAAATCTGTCAGGACATTCAGGTCTGCACGTCAATTGAAGACTGTCGCAAGTTAAACTGTCTTCACACGTACCGTATATTCGAAAACCTTTAAATGTCTTTGCTGAATACATAAATATACGCACAGACAAACGTACGTCTAGATCTAAACAGAATAATACAGTAGCTATTTACAATATGTTTTCTTCATATAAATTCAGCCCTCTGTTATTTAGTAATAAATGTATATTTTCACTATCCGAACGATTTTTACTTTGCAACGACAGGGAATTAAGTTTCAAAGAAGTGCACGTCAGATGGATAAAAACTTTTTTTTTTAAGGATTTTTCTATGTGTTGAAACTTGACTAATGCATGGAATAATAATGCAACACAAAATGTACTTAGAACAAAATGTATTGAAACAAGAAAGTGTACACAATATTTACATATAGTCTTTTGTATATTCTTGGGAAGACCGTTCCTGGAGAATGTGTTGACTGAGTCGCAGTCGGGCATAGTCTCTGGTTGAATCTCTTGATTCCCCTCTCTTCCCGATACCAACCATATTTATATGGTCGGTACTCCACTATGCAAATTAGGTGGATCCTACCACAACAGTATGCTTATTTTGATTTATTTTAACTGGAGTAATCTGGCTTATAAATATTAACATGACTAAAAAGAAAATGTTTTAGTTATCGTAGAGAACCATTTTGTCTTCAGTCAGTATAGCTGAAGCTAATCTCCCGGAGATCCTTGAATGGAATATTGCTATCCTATATGGACTGATTCTCGCGCTGTACGTCTCGAGGTCCTCGACAAAATCCAGAGACGAATATGCAATGTGATATGTCCTGATCTGGCATCTAGTCTACAGTCGCTTTCTCCTCACAGACGTGTCGTGGTTTCCTTCTGTTTCTTCTACAAGTATTTTCACGGCAGCTGTTCCCACGAGCTACTTTTGCTGGTTCCCAGACTGCATGAATTTAAGCGAGCTGCCAGGGTGGCAACTCTGTCTCACTCTTCCACTATCAAAACGGTTGAATGTAACTATCTCTTCTACTCAAACAGCTTCTTTCGTACTTCCCGTCTGTGCAACTCCCT